GGCTCTGCCCATCAAATCCGGCCGCCTTGCCCGATCTGGCGGCTGGTGGGCCGGGGTTCGCCGGATCCGCCCAGATCCGGCCGGCGTGGCCTTGCCTCGTCCTGCCCGGCTTGGATGTTCGTGGTGTGGTGCTCCCTGGTGGCGGTGGTGTGGGTCGTTCCCCATGTTTCAACGGGATGTGTGCGGTGGGTGGATGCCGGGGCGGCGGCCTCGGGCGGTGTGGACGGCGTTGCCTCTTCGGCGGGCGACGGTCGTGGGCGCTGGTGGTCCGCGACTTCGGCCGTGCGGGCGGCGAGGTCTCGGTGGACGTCTACTACAGTGGGTCGGGGTGCCCCGTCACCCGGCGTGCCTGCTTCGATGAAGTCCAACGCTTTCCCCGGCTGCGTGCGCTCCCCTGGCCAGGTCTTTGGCTGGGTGGATGGGATGGGGGCGGGACCGGAGGAAACCCTTGGCCGTCGGCGGAGGCCACGACAATGGCGGCGTCTTTGCTAAGCGTCGGTCCCCTTCTTGGAGGCCTTGTCGAGGTCCTCTCCTGTCTTTCACCGTGATCTTCCTTTGGGCGAAAGCTCTAGTTCCCCTTGCGGGCGACGGCGTCGTACCCTCGTCGCGCTCCTTCTTGAAGGCGTCGCCTGGGGTTCCCGGAAGTATGGTGGGCGCTTTGCGGTGCGTGTGAGGTGTTTGGCGGCGGCATTGTGTGCAGCGTTTCACCTATTCTCCGCCGATCTTCGTCCTGTCACTACTAGGGAAAAGCCTATACACAGAATCTTACCAGCAGCGCGCTTTAAAATCAGGCGTTGCTGCTAAGTAGCAGTAGCGCGGGTTTTTAACCCTCGCTACTACTAAGTTGATAGCAGTAGCGCTGGTTTTTTACCCTCGCTACTACTAAGCGGTCTCTACCGTGCCCCCCGGGACATGCCATAGTAGTAGCGCGGGTTTTTAACCCTCACTACTACTAAGTTGATAGCAGTAGCGCTGGTTTTTACCCCTCGCTACTACTAAGCGGTCTCTACCGTGCCCCTGGGTCATGCCATAGTAGTAGCGAGGGTTAAAAACCCGCGCTACTGCTAAGTTTTTACCCCTCGCTACTACTAAGAGGTCTCAACCGTGCCCCTCCGGGACATGCCATA